TGGAATGAAACGAAAAGGATAGGAATGCATTGATGATAAGCAAAATAGACAACAATAAGGTTGTGTATTTGATGAAGAGATGAAAATTACAGAGAGATGAGAGCTTTCGAGTAATGGAAAGATGAGAATGGGGTTTGATGATTTTTTTATTCATGGCAATTCCCATTCTCACCTCTCTATCATCTGATAACTTCAATTTTTTTATTGTCTCGTTTCTCTATCATTTTACAAATTTATTTAAATTCATCTTTGTTCTCTATAAATCATTCCATTTCATTCTTCTCCAATAACCAGATGGGCCATTAGTTTTCTTGGGCCTGAGTTAATGGTCTTGTAGTTGAGTCTCCATTGTGGTGTACTGCATGCAAACCTTATAACAAGTCGAAACACCAACAAGCCCGGTATTTTTCAGTTTTAACGGTTTCTCATTGTGGCTGTTGAAAGGGTTTGGCCGAATAATTTTGATATTTTAGTCCCTTGTTTATCAATTTTGGAAATCCATCGAATTAATCCCCATTCTTTCTAACTCTCCTCTCTTTTCATCTTTTCACTCCCACGCGTTCCATTGAACCTTTTCATTTCTTCCTCTCTCCTAGCCTCTCTGTTCTTTGTTTCTCAACACCCGTCTCCGTTCTTGCACGGACTATACTTCCTCTCTGTCATGAAGATTATGTGAGGACGATCCCATCTTCCATCCATGGCTCGTCATATGGGATTCAAAACTCTTTGATGCTGAATTTTACAAACACCAGGCATTTTCACAATGATGCGGCCTTTATGAACCGACCAAGTATTGTGATATTCGATTACAGCTTCAGGCCATATCTGGTGAAGATAAATGTACCAGAAAGTTTACAACCTGTATATATATTGCAAAGCCATAATAATAACATAACAGAATCCAAGAGCACTTAAACCCAGCAGTCATGTATGTACATGTGATAAGCAAACAAAAAATATATATCCAGAGCTCCTGTTCCCTTCCTGCTGGTTTCGGCGTTTAAGTGCTTGGATCATTGCCATCAGCCAAGTGAAAAAGCACTGCTAAAAAAATGGAGCTTCAGAATTTGTTGCTTGGCGTAAATATGCATGCAGCTCAACATACGTTTTACATTCACGGGTGGAGACGGGGGCAGGAGTCGTGACCCTCTTAACTTTTTAATTTTTTCTCATTAAAATATAAGAGTTATATATTTTCGACCTTTTAAGTTGGCATATGATAGGAGTTTTGAAATACTAAATGAAATTTTTATTTTAATTTTATATGTAGTCTTTTAAATATATATAATGAAACTATTTTAGCAGCTTGAAATTATAGTTATTATAGAATCTACTTATTTTTAATAAGATAATGTTTCATATGTTTTTAAAGTATTGATATTATTTTATTTTGCTTTCGTTTTATATTTAATGAAAGAAATTATAAGAATTATTATTAACAAATTTTATTAAGCATTGCAATAAAAAATTCAAGATATATTACATCTATAATAAAATCATTTATGCAAAAGTTTAAACGTTATCATTAAGATGTTTTTTAAAAAAAATTACTTTTTTTAATAATTAGACTATTAAAATTTATTATATGAATAATTTTTACTCTGATATAATTTGATCTCTTCGCCATAAATATTTTGTGACAATTGCGCATTATTACTATATTAATATATTTATTTATTAAAATTATTAATTGAAAGAATTAAATAATAAATTTAATAAATAAATAATATTAGCTTATTATATTGGATAGAACTTTAGATTCGAATGATGCATTTAAATTATTTGATGTTCATAGGGAATATAAAATTTTCACTAATTTAATGATAAGTTATATTAAGTAGGAAATTGTTAAAAAATTTATTATAAAATATGGACATAATAACTAATTATTTTTATGCCATAAAAATTGATGTGTAAAACTTAATAAATATATATATATTTATTTTGTTATATATAAGTCAAATTGAGTATAAATGAAAATGTTAAAATATCTATGTTATGCTATTTATATATATAGATTTAACTTTTTTTAAATTTCACATATATATTTTGTCATCCTAGCCTTTCAAAAAAGAAAATTCCGGTTCAGCCATCGTTTACAGTTTTCATTGACAAAAGCGAGGGGGGGGGGGGGTTGAGGACATCATTAGAAAGAGACAAGCATGGAGTAAATTTCAGGAGATCTGAATGACATGAGATCTCATGTGAGTTTTCCCTCTTTCCCATCCCCCGTCTTGCGTCTCACGTCTCTGTACAGATCCCATCCCCTTCTTTGGCCCCTACTATTGCCCCTTCTTGTTCATTCTTCTCCGAAGTCGCATCATCTCCTTCATTTCATTCCTCCCTCTGGCCTTCCCCTCGCTGCCTATATCATCGGCCGTCTCCTTATCACTCTCTTCATCATTTCAAACTATATTGTCTATCCATCTATCCATTCATGTCTTCATATCATTACTTTATCGATCATTATTCCTTCCTAACCACACCCGTCTCCAGTCTTTTACCCATTCACTGATTAATTATTCGGTTCAAGTCGAGATGCATGCACATGTTTCTCAGAATAATATATGGATGCGTGGAATGTGACACTACAACTCCGTGATTCACATTTGCTTCTTTTTTCTATTTCCTAATAACTGGGCAGGACAAGCTTGAAAGTCATCAAACCTCCATTTCCTAATTATTCGGCTCACTGTTTCGTATCTATGTAGAAAGCAGAAGGCATCGATCAGCGTGATTGAAGACGTGTAAGAATAAATGAGAATGAGATTGAAGGGTAAAAAAGAACAATGATTGCGCACGGATGCACACACAAGTGCGTTATTGGGGTTAGGTTGGGGAAGGGGACGGGAAAAGAATAGCACCTCTCAAAATATGAAACCGTTGGATGGTCTCTGTAACCCAACAAACAAGAGGAAAGGTTACAGGGACCCTCCGCTTTATAATATTCTAATGATCTAATTTATTCTCCGCTGCGTCAATCTAAACCCCTTGTCAATTAATGGACGCGTGGACCCACCGTTAATCCCCAGGCCACCGACGATAGATCTGGTCACCGAAGCTTGTTGGGGACACCAAACGGGGCGAGAAGGCTGCATATAAACCCATTATCTTCTTCCCCTGAATTTGTCCCATTGTCGGAGATGGACATTCTGATTGTGTTTGCCGTTGAACATTGACCCACTTTTTGAATAGGTCGCACGGATGAGAGGGAATCCGTTTGGATTTCTCTGTCTCGTGTCGGCAAAACAAGCGGTTGACAAACATGTTTCAACTCTAGAGCATTTTATAATTAGAGTGACCACATAATTAAAAACGACCGGCATGGCTAGCTAGAATCCAAACAAACATTTGCTTGGGAGATTTTAATTTTAATTAAAACATGTTTGAATAGCCTTCAAAAACATGTTTAAATTACATTTGAGATGTGTTTTTATTTAATTTAACAAATAGTTGAATATATTAAATATAATTTTATCATAATTTAAAAATCAAATACATGTAATCTATCTTTTTTTTTTTACCCCCTCAAAAACTAAGAAAATCGTGACATGAAAGAATCCCCGATTCGCCACCAACCCCCGAATTGGAGTAGACACTAGACAGGAAGGTAGCTAAAAGCTACTATAATATGTTCGTGCAGCTTCAGGGCTGCTTCTTATTGCTGTGGGGTCTTCTGGTCAGGTAAGGCCCTATGTCGAAAAAGAAAGAAAAAAAGAAAGAAAAGAAGAGAAAAAAAAAAAAATCATCCGTTCAACTTTTTTGACAAGTTCTTTTCGTTGTTGGCAGTGCTCCTTCGTTATGCATTATTGAACTAAGCGCTCTTCATTCTCATTAAAATTCAACCCTGTGCTTTTTACTACTGGAGAGGTTGTTACCAGCTATTATTATTTAAAAATCACTGCCCGTCGTGGCTGTTATCATTATTACTGATATTCTTTCACATTGTTCTCCTTTTTCAATTTCCGACTCAGCTTAATGCAAATATTCTTCTAATTATTGCCATGTCTTTTAAATGCTTTGTTTTGTTCTTAGTCAAAAGCTACCCACATCAGCTATGACTGATTCAAAGGGAATTCAAAAATATAAATTATTAATACATCATGCAAACCCCTAAATCATCCAGGCTAATCATTTCCAATCGAAAGACCACTCATATATACTGATATTGCAGTATATAGAGAGATGACCCACTCCACACACTTTTTTATTTAATTTATCCTAAAATAGAATCCCTAAAGTGAATAATTTTGTTTAAAAAACAAAAAAATGCTCCTAGTTTTTTATTGGCCATAACAAAAAAAGGCTGCTGGTTGCTTTGGTTAAATTCATTTTCTCTGTAAAATGGAGTAAAATAAATGATTTTATTTTAAAGCTCCTTGCTTGCATGTCGTATTTTTAGAAAAAAAACTTTAATCATAGCTTACTCTTAGAAAATTGCGACTCCTGTCATCTAATGCGTAATAATGCCCGCCACCACCATCAAGTTTAACTGAAGAAATTGCCATCAATTAATTGCTGTTATTTTAACAATTCAAAGGAAGGTTTTAAGAAGATGCCTGAACTTGATCTGCGACTGTATGCTGAATATTTTCTTTTTTATTTTTTTAAAAACCTTTTAAAAGTCTAATTGTTTCTGTCACAAGCTTCATTCTTGTAGCCGTACAGTAAAATAAAGTACAAGTCATTCCGTATTCAAGTAAATGAGTTAATTAATTTAGTCCTGGGCCATGGGTGAAGACTGGAGAGCGCAATTTAACCGAATACACGTGTACAAGGTGGTCGATCACCGCCAATTTCAGTAAAAGAGCAAATTTTTTCGGTCCATGTAGATTCCAAATCCGTCATACGGAAAGTAGAATTCGAACTGTCCATGGATCTTAGAGCACGCTTTTGTGCTACACAGTCGTGGGTTCGTCCTTCCCTTGAATTGTATTGGGTGTGTGTCATTTTAGGCGCAAAACTTATCTTGCTCTGTTTTCCTTGTAACTGAAGCGCGCGTATCTCCCTGTTTTCTTTTGAATCCTCAGTTCTACCCGCTGAGTGTGTAATCTGTATCCGCAAGAAAATAAAATATTAGTCTCAAGTTTGTTACTCGGTTTCTCGGAAAGCCCTCTAGCGGACTCCGAGATTTAAATATATATACACGACCTAATCCGGGGCTTTATAAAGTATTGAAGTCATCCCTGTCTACGCCATCCCCTTCATAAATTCCTTTTCACCGTCTCTAAGATTTCCTCCAACTCCAATTTCTTACCCCTCCTGGCTTGTTTTGCCTTCTCCGTCTCTTTATATCCTTCAGTTTATAGTGACTTCGCTGTCATTCGTGTCGTATAGAACTTCCAAGTTTCTTCGACAGGAGTTTCGGCTGAAAGACATGGCAGGGAACGTCAAAACAACCAAGGTGGCCAATGAACTGGGCTGTGGTTTTGTGGGGAGGCTTTCCCTTCTCAGAAGCTACCTGCTGCGAAAATCATCCCTGCGTTCATTATCCATTAAATCTACCCACAATATACACAGCAAGGAGAGCAAAAACGGTTACAAAAAGCCTCCGAATCATGAATCCAAGGGAGCGCCAAATATTCCCATCGAGTCCCACAAACCAGATTCGGATCAGAAAACCAAGAAAGAGCACCTCCGGTCATCACAACAGTCAAAACCGGAGGCCTTCAGATGCTGCTAGAAGCTCAACGTCTTCCTCAGGTAATTCAACCAGCACGAAGAATGACGAGAACAAATTACAGAGAGAGCCCGCCGGGAGTTCTCTGGAGCTTGCTAGGATAAGCAATAGTCACCAGCGAGAGAACGAGAATAAAGCCACGGTTAACTTGAAACTCACTGGGAATTTGCTCACAAATAACAGCCCCAGAACTAGCGTTACAAAGAAAGTGGAATCCGTTCCCAAGAGTAAAGAGTTGAATTCCGTGACCAGTTCTCACAATAACGCCGGGATGGGGAACATCATGAGGAAGAACACCGATGAGCTCGCGCAACTGCGGAGACAGAGGATCCGAATAGACCCTGAGGTGTTGAAGGCCGAGGGAAATGAAGCCTACAAGCAGGGGAAATTCGAAGAAGCTCTGAGTCTGTACGACCGAGCCATTCTTCTGGATTCAAGTAAGCCAACTTATCATTGCAATAAGAGTGCGGCTCTGATGGGCTTAGGCCGCCTTCCGGAAGCAATGGTTGAATGTGAGGAAGCTATTCGCCTGGAACCTTCTTATACAAGAGCTCACCACCGTTTGGCGGCTATATATCTCAGGTACTCCGAAATGGATGTGGAAAGTTGGTGATTTAGACTATGCTTTCTGTTCGGTTTCCTTATAGACTTGAAAATCTTAATGCAGACTCGGAGAAGCAGAAAAGGCCATGCACTGCAATAACTCAACTCCATACGGGGACTCCGTACTCGCATTCCAAGCTCAGGCCCTTCAAAAGCACGTTAAAAAATGCCTTGAAGCTCGTAAAGTGAACGAGTGGAACACTATACTAAAGGAAACACAATATGCAATATCATTATGTGCTGATTCAGCTCCGCAGGTTCGTATCCTTGCTCTCATTTTATTAATTTTTGTCACTTCCCTTGTGATGTACGTACTGATTTTGAAATGGTTATGTTTGTCAGGTCTATGCTTTGCTAACAGAAGCCTTACTGAAGCTCCTGAAACATGGAGAGGCATCTTCTACCTACGAAAAACTGCCCAAATTTGAACTTGATTGGTCTATCAAGATTTTTGGCGTACCGCATACTGCATATTTGTTGATAGTAGGCGCTCAGGTTCAATTGGCAGCGGGCAGGTTAGTCAGATACTTCAGCCAAAGCAGGCTACTTGGTTCCACTTTTCTTCCCCCCCATTATTATATGATTTGTTTATGATATTCATACTGGTTCATTGTGAAAGTAACGTTTAAAGAGTCTTCCTATAGCAGCATCGCTCATCCAAATTCTATCCACATGAACAGGTTTGACGATGCCGTGACAGCTGCTCAGCAAGCAGCTGAACTTGATCCAACCAACAAAGAGGTGAATGCAGCGGTAAGAAAGACGAGAGCAGTGAGATCAGCCAGAATGAGTGGAAATATACTGTTCAAGGCATCCAAATTTATGGAAGCGTGTGGGTTTTACAGCGAAGGGCTAGAGCATGATCCGTTCAACTCAGTGCTGCTATGCAACAGAGCAGCTTGTCGTTCTAAGCTCGGTCAGTTTGAGAAAGCAATTGAAGATTGTAGTGCAGCCCTTGCTGTTCAGCCTTATTACAGCAAGGCAAGGTTACGTAGGGCAAATTGCAACGCCAAGGTGAGTTGATTTCATATTTCAATTGGTTCTAATTTCTTCTAGTACATACTTGTTTGGAGTAAGTAATCCTTATAATATTGTCCTTTTTTTAATTGGATTTAGTTGGAAAGATGGGGGGCTGCCATTCAAGACTACGAAATGCTGATGAGGGAAAAGCCAGGGGATGAGGAAGTGGCAAGGGCTCTGTTTGAGGCACAACTTCAACTCAAGATGCTACGAGGAGAAGATATTAAAGACTTGAAATTTGGTTCCAACCTGGTTTTCATCTCAAGCAACGATCGCTTCAGACATTATGTTACCTTGCCAGGTAAGTCCTCTTTGGTTGTCATGACTCTGATGCAAGTTCACTTGAAGAGGAATTTTGCATTACAAAATAATGCTAACTGTTTCTTTGATATGAACAGGAATGTCCGTGGTTCTGTTCTGCAACAAGGCAACCCACAAGCAAGTATTGCTGGTATTGGAGCAAACATGCAAGAGATTTCCCTCTATTAATTTCCTCAAGGTTGCTTATCTTCCACTTGTTCAAGGTTTATACTTCAGAATGTTTCTCCTTTTCATACTGTTTTATTAATATATTAGAAAAACTACAGGTGGAGATCGAAGACCACCCATATTTGGCAAAGTCAGAAGGCGTGAGCTCTGTCCCGGCCTTCAGAATATACAAGAACGGATCAAGGGTCAAAGAGATTCCGGGCAACAAACACGAGTTGTTAGAAAGATCGGTTAAACTGTATACTGGCTGAAGATAAATTGCAGTCCTCGGGTAAGAACTCTATGCTGAGCACTCGAGGAAGAAGGTTCGACTATGGAAAATGAAAGGGAATGTAATCACGTCCAGAGATGGGAAACTAAGTTATGACTAATTGTATCTGCATAAATTTATCGACGATTCTTACAAGGCAGAGGAAACGTTGAAGGAAGCCGAGCGTCGTTGTGGCCATAGGACAAGTAAAAAAGGAATTCATTGTGTGATTAGTTGATTCTTTGAATCCTTTGAAAGTTTGTGCAGCCCTTTGTTCTTCATACCGTGTATTTCACATTGGTTTGGCATGCCTAAATAACTAGGACGTTAGGATCAACACAAAAAGGAAGAAGACAGATTGTTTCAACTGCCAGAATAGGTTTATTGGTTGGTTTCTTGATTACCTCGAAGGTACCAATGGCTAATCAAAGCCATAAATGCAATTATGCAGACCTGCAATAGCTAGGACCAGTAGTCCGTCTATTTCAAAAGGAATGTGTTATGTGAAGTGAGTCATGTGGATAAATTATAAATATTTGTAGTCAAATAGGATGATTAAAAAAATATCAACGTGTGTTTTCAATGTGTTAGCTTTGTCATTCATTAGTTCAAACATCAATTTTTCTTCCACCCTCAACATTGTTAGTTAACATGAGCAACAAAACCTTTATTTTCGTCAAAGCAACGTTGCTTATCTCACGAGGGAGATAGATATTTTGTTTTCTAGGTATATATTCATTTTTGGGCCGAGATGTGCAGCTTTATCAAAAGTTGCAAATTAATTACTTGAATGTCTGACCGCTCGCTCCAAAGAGATGAATCACAGGGAGCACAGATTGCGCATTCTGCGGTTAAGCTGATGGAGGGCTGATTTAACAGCGTGATTAGTCCAGCAGCAGCATATTAATGATTAACCATATTCGCACTCAACATAATAAAAGAGAGAAATAACATAATTAAAGATTATAAAAGCAAACATTCTATCCTAAGCAGTCAACATAATAATGGAGAGTGAACGTCAGACCGAGCTTATGCTCCTCTCCAGATCACATGAAAATAATTCAATGGTGAGGGATGAGAGAAAAATGAACAGTAATTCATTCAATGTTTGCGTAGGATAACCATGATATCCTCAGACAGTGCTTGAGAAGTGAAGACGACTAGGGTTTCAATCATTTTTTATTTATTTTTTATCATAGAGAGAAACACGGGTGCCGTTGATGTACAACATGCATGCCCTGTTTTTACTTCAATTTAATGGGTTCACGAGGAGATTCGGGAATCAGCTGGAGACAAAGGTCGATGCCTTCACAGAGTACTTTGGTCAGAGGATTGACATAAAGCTTGCAAGATTGGAGTCGACTCTGCCGGGAGCCCCAGGAAGGAATCTCGTCGTCCTTAATGGGGCTTGTGATTGGGAGTATCATGTATGACGCTCATAAGCCCATCAGAAAAAAAGTGAGCTGGACGACTCGAAAGCCTTGGACGCCTCTAGGCTCTAAATTTTGAGAACTGGATACATTAACGAGTGCCGTGTCATTCAGAAGCCAGCACGCCCCAATGTACGAAGGGAAAAGGAAAAAAAAGAAACATTACTAAATGGGCTCATAATATCAACACAAAGGGCGTGGCTGTTGAACGGCGAACACACCCCTGAAACAGAGGCAGTTTCTGCTCAGTTGACTGAACTGGGATACTGTCAGGGCTGGGGCCTCCGTTCTGATGTCCCTGATCGCCATTGGAGATTGGTAAAGTGCTGCTCTCACCTTCTTCGAGAATGACACTACCCTTGGCTCATCACGCTTCCACGTTCCACCTGTGCACTCGCTGTTCTTTCCTATTTTTTGTCTTCGCATCTTTGCTTCCTCCTCCTGCCAAAGCTGATATGTCTTATCCGTGTCCATGTTGGAGGAGGATAGATTCTTGTTATCTGTAAGGTGTATTTAAATTCTCAAATTAAGAGTCGAGAACTTCAAGGTCGCGTGAATAAGGATAAACTAAGCATCACAAACGCACGTTTGGAATATATATTTCGCCCATATCCCTGTTCCTCACTTTACGCACCTCAAACTTCTCATCTCTTCCGTAGTTTCAAGTGATATGCCAACGAACAAATAGCGCTTTACCCTTGGCATCTTTTTTTTTTTTTTTAAATGGGAGTGAAAGCACCTAAACCCAGACCGGAACAGGCATTTGAGAACCTCCCCCTGTCAGGATGACATTTCTAATTAGTACCATCACTGTCGAGTTTTGGTGAATAAGAAGAATTAATTAGATTAGTGGGATGTCGCTTTTTGATTCAAAAGTGACTTCTAGCAAGCGGAGTCGGCTCGAAACCACTTCCCCGGTTCCCTTGTAATAAGCAGCATTATGATTATTACTGACTGACTTTTGATGCTAATATTTCATCATGGGATAGAATGAAGCAATTGAATTTGAATTAACTTATGGCATATAATCGTCCCGAAGTTCTACCTTTTCCTCTCTGCAGGAGATGCATGGGATTTATTGGCACATGGAAACTATCCCCGGAGGCCAATAGGCTAACGCTATAAAGTGGCCAATTTTTTTTTTTAAAGATTAAATATACAAATTTTCTTAAATTTTAAAATAATTGCACATAACTTTTTCATCTTCAAAAATTTAAAATTAATTTTCACAATGCTTTATTTTTTTTATTACTAACTCTTATGTTATTAATTTCTCATTATATTATTAATAGGAGTTGTCACCTTATATTAAAAAAGATAATGCAGCAACTTATATGTCGTCCAATATAAATTAATAATAACTTTATAAAAATTTTATCCATATTTTTTTTTTGTTATTATTCACTTGTTTTGGATATCACATGAGTTCATGTGTTTTCTTATAACACGGTGATTCCTGTTAATAAAATAACTCAAAAATAAAAGTATGAAAATAATTAGTCAAAATATAAAAGATTTTGAAAGTTCATTTCAAGCTTCTAAAATGACAGAATTATATACAAGTGTCATAAATTTTAAGAAAGTTTTGTATTTTCTTTTTCCTTTTTTTTTTTTTAAGAAAGGCTCTAAGTAATAACGCAACTAATTTCACACTCAAAATTAGAAATAACGTGGCTAATGGGAATGGCAGGCAATACTGACAAAATTGGCAGGAGCTTATCTTTAAGGTTTGTATAATGAGGCCAATAAATATGTTAATTAGCAAGTTATTAGAGACGCTCATAATTTATAATGTTACCGTTATGTTACTTAATGATTCTCCATTAAAATATAGCTATATTATAAAAATTGATTAATAGAATACTCAGCATATTAATCGTTCTGGAAGAAACAGAATGCGGAAAAGAGAATCACATATATTCGTTTAAATTCACAAGTCGTTACAAGAAAGAGCGAACAACTTCATACACGAACTTGCCACTTAAATCTTAGGAAAAGAAATTTAAAAGCTGTACAGGTATCATGCGATTAACTAATATCAAGTAATCATAACCAAAAACGCTAAAACTTGAACTAATTATTAGATCTCCCCGCGGTCACACCAACGTAGTTTGGGGAGAGAATGGCACAAACCTCGTCACAGTAAATCAAAGCTAACGACTTGAAAAGAACAGTGCGTCCGAAGAAAAAACAATGACGTGGCCGGGATCATCATCTTTTCCAACTTCGACTCTTTGACAACGGATCGCTTATTCCCCCAACAATCCAGGTCTCTTTGGCAATATCTGAAGATATTTCGTAAAAATCGGAGTCATACTTCATCACCACCAAATTCTCTCTCTTTCTCTTCTCTTCGTCCATTAATGACTTCAAACTCCTCCCTTTTTTCAGCTCTATTTGCTCTTTATCTACTTTTTCATCATTGGCCTTTTCTTTTTCTTGCTCGGCACTTTTCCCCCCTCTGTTCTCTTGCAGCCAGCTTTTTGCCGGAGCCGACCTGCACCGCATGAGTAATAGTGCATTCGGAGGAGGGACAGTGGGCTCGGCCTCTGATCCATCATCCCCAACCCCACCTTTCTGCTTCGCATCTTCTTTGTGAAACCCAGTATTTTGATTCTCTTGCAGCACCATAAACCATTTGGAAAAGACGGTTCCCGAAGCTTCGTTGTCGCTTTCATTTATGCCTACTTGATTTTCCCGATACTCATCGTCTTCGTCATCCTCCTCAGAGGTGGCGTCCGCCTCAGGGAATGATCCAAAGCATCGCAGGTCGAACTTTATGCTTCGTAGACAAGTCAAGAACTGCATAATTTCCTTCTTGAAACCGAAAGAGTCGGCCCAGCTGGAGCGCTTCCTCTGTTTTCTGTTGTGGTGAATTTTCTCTATTTCTTCCATCACGGATTGCCAGCTCCTGCAAGCAGCGGTCTTCGGCCTGACCTTGATCTGACCGGCACAAGTGACCTTTGGAGAGGTCGGTTCGGCAATCTCGGGGCCCATAGACTTGGTTTTAGACCACAGCATGGGACTAGCCTGACCAGCACCAGCACCATTTCTGGTGGTGGATTTCTTGAGGTGGCGTTTGGTGGAGTCAGAAGGCCTAGCAGGGCTGCAAATGGGCTTGGGCATGAGAGTCAGATGAGCTCTAGAAGGAAAACATACTAAGAGATCTGCGGAGGGAGCAGGCTTGGCTTCTCTCGCCCTCATGGTTGAATTGGGAGAATATGGGTGGCACCTCAGATCTCGCGCTTTGCTGAATATTTAGGAAATGTTTTGGTTGATGAAGAGAAAAAGTAAGCAACGAAGCAGTGACAGCTTTCCTAGGCTTTTAGCCTTTATCTAGGGATTCTAGGCCTTCTCTTCAATCACCGGTTACAGTGGTTCGTGGTCCCCACCGTTTGAATTGGGGTCACCAGAGAATATGTTGCTGCTTGCTGTTGCTTGCTTAGTCTACTTTTTGGGATATCCCGCGTTAGTGCTTGACATTAACATATATAATACAGAGGGAAAGTTAAAAGCCCATGAGGTTGGTTCGTGATCCAATCATGGCCTCACCTGGCAAGCCCATGCCACATATTACTGATAGTAATACTCTATGCATCTATCTTTTGTTCTGGATGTGAACAAACATACATATGCCTTCTGTCTCAAGCTACCGAACCAGCCCTTGTATACATTCCATGGAACCCACTAACTTTCCGGCCGGTGAGAAAGTTTAAAGAAAGAAAAAGCTATGTGTGCACTCTGCCGAATTTTGAAGGAGGGGTTGGGCAGTCTCGTTGGTTGGTCCCCTGCGTCTGCATTAATATACTTAGGCCAAGTTTATGACTTTATGTGAATCAGTGAATGCCAACCAATTCGTTCTTGTTCTTCCGCACAACTCAGGTTAGGTGCTTTCAGGTGCAAAACTTAAAGTCACCAACTGCTGCGAACAGCATCACTCCATAACATCCATGGGTGAATAAAGGAAACTTCTCCTTTGTAATTCAAGAAGCTAAAGGAACCACAAAAAGGATCAAACTTCACAATTAAACCCTTTACATTACTCCCCCGTTCCTCCTAATCACAATATAAATTGTTTTTTTTATTTTACTTAATTTAAAATATCAGACATTTGATTGATTTTATACACATTTTTTTAATTATATTCCTATTAGGTAATCAATGAGAGTTTTAAATAAATTAATATTATATTTATTGCACTCTATAACACGACAATTAAAAAAATATGAAAATTTTCAGGAAATCAAAATTTTAGCCAAACAGGGTCTATGATTTTTGAACTCGCGAGTTGTTGAGAATGGGATTCGGCTACGCGTTCATTTGTGAAATCATTCGGCTTGATCAGCACGTGGTTTGGATTACTGTTTCTGATTGATCCATGATACCCCTTGACTTCTTGTCGGGTTTATCAAATTTGATTTCAACACTCTCAGTATTTATTGCTCAAAGATATTACCGTGCTTAGATTTTGTGCAATCAAACGGTGCCTGCATTAGTGAAATCAAATCATTGACTTAAATTGATTTTTACCAGCGCACACAAATGTTTTGGCGTTCTCCCTCTCTCTCGTCATCCATTATGGAGACTGGCAGGAAGGTGGTGAGGTAACAAGCTATCTCGTTTATGATATTATTGCTCCCTCCACACAACAATGCAAATCACTTTCTAGAAGTACTTCTTAATTCAAAATAAAAAATATTAACTAACTTTTATATTTTTTTTTCATTTACACTCTAACTTTTTTAATTTCTTGACTTTAAATGTTTCATATTTAAAGGTCATATACATGTTATTAAAAAAATTTAAAAATATAAATAAAAGTTGTAAATATTTTTAAGAGATAAGGTATCAATCAACATTTTTTGTAAACCATAAATTAACATTTACACATATTGTGGTCCGGACTCTGGAGGGAGTATTATACATTTTAAGAGTGTTACATTAATTATGTTATCTAATGAAATACTAATTTACATTTAAAAAATCATAATTCATAATAATATTACATGAGATTTGAATAAATAAATTTGAATTTTAAATTTTAAATTTTATATTTAAAATTAGTATATTTAATTAATATCCTTTATTTGGATTGTAACAGAAATCCATATCAATAAGAAAAAATTGTTCTCATGTAGCTTGTTTACAAGTTTGGATAATATCGAAAGATGATGATTGAGTGTTATAATAATTAAGATAAATTATATATTTAAAATTTGTAAGGAAGTGTAAAAAAAAATCTGGGATTTGGATCGATCCAAATCTATAAAATTTTATATATTCAAGTAATAGTTAAATTTGATTTAAATCCGTGAACACTAAATAGAAATTGTTGTGACTTATGAGGGGTGAAAGGATGAACCTGGGCTCTAAAATAGCGTGAATTTTGAAGTAGGGATATGAGCATGTTCCTTTCCGACTTTATCTCAAAAAAAAAGGAGGAGTATAATGTTGAGTCATACACAAAATAAACATAAAAAGAGTAATGCTTTATATTAACATAAAGTTATTGGAAAAAGGGGAACCCGGCAAGTGAAGAGAAGGCATGATTAAGGGGGTGGGTTTTGCACTTGAGAGCTGGGCAACCATGGTCCCCTCTGCCTATTATGATTCATGCACCCCGCCCTCTTTCTCTTATATATATATATATATATCTCTCTCTCTCTCTCTCTCTATACATACATATGCATATGGTTTTCTTATTATTATTTTTTAGTTGTCTATGCAAATATTCCCTCTTCTTTTCTCATGATTGTATCCCCTCTCATAACACACCGTTTTTACGTTCTTTTCACTCGCCTGATCTGTTGTTTTACCCACTTATTCCTCCTTTGCCACTTTAACCAAATTTCAAATTCCCACAGGTTTTATTGCTGTCAACATGTCATTTCATTTCATATAATTCAAAGGTAAGTCCATTTTCTTCAACCTTTCCAAAGGAATCCCACTTGTCGTGGCTTTACACCCATTTAGAATCCAAAGAACAGAAGAGAAGCGCTTACTTTGCAAAACACACAGAGAAGACGAGGACTCGATTAGCAACAAAGGCAAAAGGAGATTGCAGACATTGACAAAATTACAGTGGCAATGAAAAAGAATAAGCAGAAACAAGGAAATAATTAATTGTAGCAGCTGTGTGAATTGAAGCCTGGTCCCTTCAATTTGAAGAGCATGATGAAAAAGGGTATATACGCAGAGCTGGGTGGCCCCTCCAGCTAGTGTTGATGTGCCTGCGCAGCCTTTAATGATAGGAACCTTGGGGACCAAGCAACCCAACCTTAATTCCTTGTAGTAATAGTAATTGATCTCGTCCCCATTTTATATGTGTCTCGTTCTCGGGCGAGTGGGCCAGCTTGCAGGTGCGGCAGCTTGATTCTCGAGGAGAAACGAAATCACCATTCTCTCCCTGTTTTTGTTTCTGCTTCGCACTTTTACCTTACTGACCTCATGCTTGGGTAAATTGGATCGTGACATTATGGTTGCTTTAGAAGATGAGCAAACGACAATAACGGAATATTTTAAATAGATCCTCCGTTCTGATTATAATAATTGCCGATTGATTTGTATAATAGTAATAATATATATCCATATCCATTTACCATGCATCTGAAAGCAATTCCGAGTTCATAACAGGTGGGTGGTTGCTCAATATGCAATTAATAATGGATCCCATCCATCGACTGTTAAAACTTTAAGTTAAGCCCACATCGCTAGACACTATGTATCATTTCCTTCTTTAATGTTTGGTAAAAATGTACCATCATAGAGTGTTGATGACCTTTTTTTTTTTTTTTGGGAATTTCAGTGATTATATATTTTGATCCCGTGACCCATCCACTCTAAGTTTGGTTAAGTGAAAGTAAAGATACCTGGCTTTGTATATGAGCCAGAATCCAGTCACTAGTACAAAATATAAAATTTATGGGATACTTTTTACATCGTTTGGAAGGCAAACGGTGTAAAAAATAAAGGCGGTGGCATTTTTATAATTATATTGAATTATGTGACACTTTTTACACCGGGTGCCTGTACACCCGGTGTAAAAAGTGTTTTTTAAAATCCTTTCTTCTTTCCTGCATTCATCAGTTCCTCTCCTCCTTCTCGCGCCCTCCCTCTCGTCTCCCTTTCATCCGCCCACTCCCCCTCCCCCTCGTCTTCTCCCTCGCCGGACCCCCTCCCCCCATCCGCCCAACCCTCCCCCCTGTCCGTCGAGCCCCCTCCCCCTCCCCCTCCCCCATCCCGCCTCCCCCTCCAGCTCCTCCCTTCGCCGCCCATTCTCCCTCCCCTTCGTCCCGCCGCCCACTCCCCCTCCCCCTCTCCCCTTACCCACCCCTTCCCTCTCCCGTCCCCTTTCCCCCTCTCCCTCCCTCTTGCCCCCCTCCACCACTCCTTCTCCCTGCCTTTCAGTGTTGAATCGTTGCTGCAGCTGCCGCCACCCAGGTATATGTTGAATATAAATTTTTAAATTTTATGATGTTTAAATTTAGTTTTTAATGATATTAATTGTTGCTGGGAGTGCTATTAGTGGCTTCATAAGGCCTCAGGTTGTTGCATGTGATCATTTATTTGGTTTAAAATTGTTAATTTTCTCGTGTAAAATTTTCTAAAACTTTTGGGAAGTCCAATTTTTAGGGAAGACTCTGTTAAAATTTTTTTTGAATTTATGCTTTCCTCTAATTTTCTTAAATTTAGTTTTTAATGATATTGATTGTTGCTGGGAGTGCTGTTAGTGGCTTCATAAGGCCTCAGGTTATTGTATGTGATCATTTATTTAGTTTAAAATTATCAATTTTCTCTTGTAAATTTTTTTTAAAAGTCTTAGGAGATCCAATTTTCAGGGGAGATTCTGTCAAAATTTTTTCAAATCTTAATTTAATTAGGAACTTAGTTTCTTAAAATAGTTTGAAGATAATAACATTAGTTATATTCTTTAGGAAGTGACACATGGATCGTAGTTAGATGAATGCTAGACGAACGAGTGACGAGTATGATAATGGGGTGAAAGAATTTTTGGAATTTGCTAAGAAAAATGCTGTTGACAATAGTGAAAAGTTCTATTGTCCTTGTGTTAATTGTTTGAATGAGAGGAGACTAGGTGTTGTCGAAATAAGAGAGTACTTAGTTTGTGATGAGATTTGCAAAAATTATACAATATGGATTTGGCATGGTGAACGATTGGAAAATTATAGTAACACATCTCAATGTGTGGGAGTTGATAATCTTGATGATGAAGTAGAAATGAATGAAGATCGATTAGAGAACATGATTCGTGATGTTGGGGAAGAGGCTTTTGAACGAGCACATGTGTATGATAACTTGTGCACTGACGCAGAGAAGCCTCTATACCTGGGGTACACTGATTTTAGTTTGTTATCTGGGGTGTTAAAACTA